AAACTGGTAGTAGTTTTAATATCAGAGTGTGTCCACTTTAATGGAACTAAGATTCAGGCCAGTTAGGAAGCAGATCACACCATCCACAATACAGTATTTTAAGCACTTAAGGCATCCTATAAGCATGTAGAACTTCTACTAATATAGGGAAAGGGAAGGGCCTAGTAAGGACAACTCAGATCAGTTACATGCCTGTAGTTATTTACAACAGTATGCCTTTTCCCCTCCACAAAAAATCAGCTTTTGAGGAGTCACTTTTAAGTCAGGGGGTGCATAAATTCATCCACAAGGTCTGCTACCAACATTACTGGCCAGCTGTCTCTGGACTTGGCTTTCTGTTTAAATTCCTTTTTTGCATCAGGTTACTGACCAGAATCTACTACATAGCTCTATGGGGATAGTGTGAAGTTGACTTAGTAAATTAATAATTTCTCTGCTTTGGGATAAGGTTGGTATAGTTTTAGTTCCAAAAATCAGCATCATTATTATTAAACAATTTGCAAAACAATTTGTTGTGATTTTCTGTATATTTGTGTGTATCCTTTCTCTGCTAAAATCCACTGCAGCTATAAGCACACTCAAATTAATTTGAACGTAACTATCCTACTGGAGTTCTGACACTTCAGAACAGACAGAGCTGCAGTACAGGACAGAAAAAGGAGGATGTTCTGTACCATGTGTCTGATACATCTGACAGCACAGAAATGCTATCTTTGTGTCTCCTGCTAACAGTCTGTCTGGATTTCAGTGCCTTCAGCTTATCTGTCATCATCTGTTCTGAGACAAAGCCTAGCACAGACAGTCTCACCAAAGGGTGTTTTTATTGTTTAATAGGATACAATTACATTTGTCTGGTTTTGAGTTACTGGGGAATCCTAAATGTATCTCTGATGGTAAACTTACTCCTAATAGAGGAAATGAGTACATTTTCTTAAAAGGTGTTTCATGGTGCAGTCACAGAATGGCTTTTTTTGTTTAAAGAAAACTTGCAAACTGTCATGTTTCTCAGTGGATCTTTGTGCTTTTTGTGAAATTAAAAATTGAAAATTAAAATTCAGTTTTAAAAGACCACCAGTAGTTAAAAATTGTAGCTTCTATTACTGGAGATGCTCCTTAGCCAACTTTATTTCAGCAAACATTTTTTCTGCCTTCTAAATGCATATAATCCTCGAATTGATTCCATTCATATAAACTGGCTCATTTCAAGTGATGTAAATGAATGTCTTCAGTATAAGTTTTGTGATTTACAGCCAAATGCTGCTACAGAGAAGCGGCAGCTTGTCTGTCTTAGCACTTACCAGCCAGTAGTAGTCAGTTTTTCTGTTTCCATCACAATTCTGCTCCTTCAGAGGCAGAGAAGTAAGCCAGTCCTCCTGGTCACTCTAGGGAGGTTTTGGCAAGGCTTACTGGTATTTTCTCTGACTCTGGGTCCCATATGGAGGGCACAGTACCATGTTCTCTAAAGACTGTATTAACCTGGTTTACTCATTCCTAAACAAGCTCTGAGAAGTGAATCAGAAACTGTGGGCAGGGGACAAGTTGTCATATTTGTGCTTGGTACGCATGGATGTTCATTGCTGACTGTGGACTGGCTTAATCCCAAGACTAAGGAGCTCTGCCCAGAAACTGCTAACACTTGTGAGACAGGGAACTATTTGGGTGGTATGTGCTGTCACTATTAGTAAAGCCTGACTCTGATGGCCCAGTAGTTTTAAATGAAATGAGGGCAGATCTAGATTGTACATAATGAAGGACATTTGTATGGTGAAGATGGTGAGGCACTGGAACAGGTTGCCCAGGGAAGATGTGGATGCCCTATCCCTGCAAGTGCCCAAGACCAGGTTAGACAGGGCTTTCAGCAGCCTGGTCTAGTGGAAGGTGTCCCTGCCTGTAGGATGGAGTTCGGACTATTTGAGCTTTAGAGGTCTCTTTCAATCCAAACCATTTTGTTTCTATCGTTCTGTGATATAGAGGCCCTTCAGATTCTTATTGTGCTTCTTTGTAGCTGCCATTTTTAAGACAAATCTATTCAGCAAATTTCTATTGCCCAATAGATTGTCTAATGTTTGTAATCTGAATCTTGAAAATCAGATTAGATGTTAGGCAAAATTGTTTCACTGTTAGGGTGCTCAGGCACTGGAATAGGTTGCCCAGGGAGGTGGTGGAGTCACCATCCCTGGGCGCCTGGATCTGATGCTGGAGGACATGGTTTAGGGTATAGGGGTTACAGCAGAGTGGCAGGCTAATAGTTGGACTCGATTATCTTAGAGGTCTCCTCCAAGCTTGATGATTTTATAGTTGTATCATTCTGTTCTTTGTTGTGGTGATACAAGTAAGAACTCAAATCTTACAGCATTACTACTGAGTCTTCAAAAATTCCTGGATTTTAGGGAATTCTTCTGTGGGGAAGGACTTAGTTTGCCGTTTGCTTTGTATCTAAGTAGAAAAAGTGAGGGATTGGTTCTGTGTATAATACAAAAATACAAAGAATGTGCTTAATTGGAAGTTGGTTTTGAAGGCATGAATGAAAAAGCATGTTCTTGCACGTTCTTGTAAAGCAGTTATGTGTTTCAGAAATCACACCCAGATATCAAAGATTGCTGGTCATAGGCTGACATGAAATAGAAATATGGCTGAAACAAGATGAATTCTTGTTCAAGATCAATGCTCTCTTAGATAGGACGTGACAAAACAAAATAGTTTGAGCTGTGTCATCATAACATGTCATCTATTTTGTCCCTTAATTTTCTGTTAGACTATTATTAGTCTACTATTTTTCCTAGCTGAAACATTTTTGATATGTTGAACAAATGATGGAAACTTAAAGCAATATTATTAGAAGTAGATCTTTCTATTTGCAATTAAAATGTCAAATGTAAAAGACTGGTGTATGTTGGCTTAAAGTACTTAAAGATGAGACTAACTCAAGAGTCTCACACCTTCTAGACTTGCTAAGCAGCGTTTGAGAAAATCACAGTATGAGGGGCATTTTAGACTCCTGTTCTGTCAGTCTTATTTTGGATTAAGATCCTGTAGTAGCATCAGTGAGCAGATCATAATAATTTACATATCAAACAGATTAGTCTAGCTTAGGGAAGTTGCATATTCCACATTTGAGAAACTGTAATTATTACCATTTTTCTCCTTCTGATTTAGTATTTGATATGTGTATACAAAAATATTTGTATTTCAAATGCTGCATTCACAGTATATAAAAATAAAGTCCCAAAATATAGTAGGGAGAAAATATTCTGCAACGTTTATGTTAGAGGACTAATATAGCAAGGGAGGGTTAGCATCTAAGTTACTGATGAGAAATCTTGATGACAGGCAATGAAACTGCAGCCTAATAAATCAAGTTTAGCTGCCCTGGAAATGTGTTTTCAGTGTCTGGGCTCAATTTTCCTGAAGTCTACATGATTCCATGTTATGATTTATCAACACTTGCCATTCATATTTCTCTTAGTCAAGTGGGACATACACTCTGCCTTTAGATTTGGAGGTAGCTTTGTATACTCTTTGTATATAAATGAGAAAGTTATGGAATCTTCAATAGCCATTTCAGACAAAAACAAAGGGATTATGAAAAAGCTGGGGAAGTCTATCCAGCAGCTGAGCAGACCTTGATGTAATGGTGCATTAACAGAGAAATTGCTTCAGGGATAAATAAATGGACTTTAGCCCTGAGAAAAGTTATTTTCTTTAATGATAAGAAGATTCAAGAGATCAGCTAAAACTCAATATTTACTTTGTATTGTCAAAGGCAAGTTTTCCTCTGAGACATGCCTTGCATCTATAAAGCTCGTGGTATGCCTGTGATTTTGCAGAAATATGAATGGATCAGTTAGCATTGATGCATGAATGCAGAGAAAATTCAAGACAGTTCTACCGATGGACACCTTGATCCCAAGGAGATAACATTTTTCAGCCTCGCAGTTTCATACAGCATTAAATACAGCCCTCTTTGGAAGACGAGGTTCTAATTATTTTTATGCTTTGAACTGTATTTATTTGATAAAGGTGGGGGAGGTTGGGATAGGGTCCTTTGAACTGTGGTTTGGCAATAAATAGAGATTGCTTTCACAAACCATCTGCAAAGCACAGCTGGAAAGACTTTCATCATGTCTTGTTGCATTACTGATTAAAATAACATGTTTATCTGAGGGCTTGCTGATAGCACTGTCTGTGGTAGCAAGCAAAACTGATTAATACTTGTCATCTAAACTCCTCCCTCTGGAAGCCTTTTCTTTCACCTTCTACTGTCAGAACTTTAGCAAGAACACCAATTTTTGACAGTAAAACAACATGGCTAGCAGCTCTTCTAATTTGTCAAAATTGTTTTGATTGGAACATCAAACAAAAACACATAGCCAATTCAGTAAGTGCTTTTTATCCTGATCATGCAGACATCTTTAAGGAGATGTTGGATCTACATGTTTGGCTGGCCAGTGGCAGCCATACTGCATACAGGAACAGGAGAGTTATCTGTATGCTGGTTGCACTCAGGGAAGTTAAGAGAATACAGCAGTTAGAAAAGATGGTCTGTTTCTTCTTAAATTTATTGTCTTGGTTCCCTGCAATATATATACATGCATGTGTTTGGTATTTGAGTAATAGAAATAGCCTTCCTCTGGTTCTTTACACCTTTTAATATTATGTCATATAAGATGGCTGGAGTAAATTAAGGCACATGGAGAAAGAGTAGTTAGAGGCAATTGTACTCTCTGGCATTCTGTAGTTCTGATCCACGCTGTCAGGCAGGGCAGTGTTAATACTGATGGTCATTTGCCACTTCTGTAATAGAGCAGTAGACAGATTTGATGAACAAGTAAGATATAGTCAATTTTGTTTCTGGCAATGAGGTTTTTGAGCTTTGAACCAAAGCAAGAAAGAAGTAGAAAAGAAGCAGCTTCTGTTAGGATGCAACTCTCTGGAATTAGTCTATGATGAAAATCGAGGTTTTATGCTATAACTGCAACCATTCTGTTTGTATCTTGCAGTGAGCCACCTCTATGGATTTGGACTGATGGATGCTGAAGCAATGGTGATAGAAGCAGAAAAGTGGACAACGGTCCCTCCACAGCATGTGTGTGTGGAGAACACAGATCGGCAAATCAAGTAATACCCGCTAGCAAACCTCTTGCTGGCATAAACTTATGGAAAGAAATTGGGTGTAATTTACCCCTCCTTGTATTGTGTATAACACGTCATTTCAAAAGCTATACCAGGGATCTCTGTCACATTTGCAGATGCAAGGTCATCTGCCTGTAAATATTGTTCTGTATATTGCTTGGAAAAAGGTCCTTGTTTAAAGAGCACCCCAGTCAGTGAAGGTATAAAATAGCCAGACTGGATAACAATGGATTTTTGTAGACATGATGCACCAAAGAAGAAGAATGTTTGGTTGAGTGCACCTTTGTAAGGAGAGTACAGACTTAGCAGTCCAGAATCTAATAAGGAAATACTCTTTCCATACTGTATGAGATTGTCTCCCTCAAGCAGTCTTAAGAGAGTCTTTAGCTCAGAGGCTCAGACTAAACTGCTTTCCACTTGCTAGTGTAGGGTTTCATTTGAAGCAGACATAAGAGCAAAATTCTGTATGTGCACTCTGTGACAGAGACAGCATTAATTGTAAAGCACACTTCCAAAGCATTGAGATTATTGTTTGATAGTTATATTTGACAGGCTTGATCCATGCACTGGTATAGTCTGCAAGGATGTCATGCCAATTTAAACCAAGTCAGATGCCATTCAGTACAGTTAACATGTTATACTTACTGTGACATAAGCAAGGACTACAGTTATGCCGGGCATTTCCTGGGGCTTAGCAACCAGCTCCAGCTGTGATCCCATGACAATCCCAGCAATTCTTAGCTGGCCACTAATTCACAAAAATGCTCTGTCCCAAAGGCTTATTCGTGTTACAGCTTTTTCACTGTCCTCTTTTACCTCTTGTACGTGCATAACAGGTAGTTCCCCATAGCCATTAGTTGCAGTAAAATGCTTATCGTGTGGTGATATTTCGAGTTAGGAAGTACGTGTTAAAACTAACAGTTATATGCTACTGACTTCTCAGTTGTCCAACACGGTCATTCAATTTAAAGCAAAAACGATGTGGTTGACTGTTTCATACAAAAACCAAGAAATGCTAATGTTGTTTTCTGTGCTTCTGTTACAGAACAATACGGCCTGACAGCATTGTCCGTTCAATTTACAAAGCTACTGGCTGTTCCGATAATCCTAACCACCATGTGATCTACTTGGAGCATGTCATTGTGCGCATCACTATTACTCACCCTCGACGTGGAGACTTGGCGATTTACCTAACCTCTCCTTCTGGAACGAGGTCACAGCTTTTGGCCAACAGGTATAGCATGACAACACAATTTCACAGTATAGTCAGAGCCTGCATTGAGATGTCAGTATCAGCAAAGAACAGGGGAGTCATTAACAGCAGGTTTGATGGCAGACACAGGCTAATTATTTTTTCTGAGAGAGAGATGAAGTGGAAACTAACTCAAAGATGACAATCTCAGTAGAAGAGAAGCCTGTAAAACTGTTGAAGTCCATAGTCTGCAACACAAAGATTAGTCAATTTTAATAGTCTTTTATGGTTCACCAGTTGTTAGATGGGTAGAAAATGTGAAGAAAATAGCAACAGGCTCAGTGTTCATAAGGAAGCTAAATAGAAGTGTTTCTATGTACTATTGCCACTTACTTTTCATTTTTCTCCTTTCTTATCCTTTCTTTCACTGGTAATAAAAATCAGAGTAGTGGTTCATCAATACTATTTTCTTTAAGGCCTTTATGTTTTTATTTCCATATCCTTTTTTGAAAGTAGTATACTCAACCCATGAGAGGCTTATAGTAGAATAACACTGAGATGTTGCACTAGTACATTGAAATTAATGGGTTCATTTGTAAACTGCAAATTAAAATTTTTAAAAGTCAGCCTTTATCCTGCAGATTGTGACTGATACTTGCTTTCCAATGTCAAGCCATTCTAACAACCACTAAGAAAGATCAATCTTTTTCCTCATCCTGTCATCTCTAAGTTATGTTCTTGGAGAAACTGTCATGTTGCATCAAGGTGTCTTTTTTTTCCTGTCTGGACTCAGACAAATATCTCATTGTGCAATGTATCATTTCCAACAGTTGTGCAATTTACATCCTTGAAGGTAGGGTTCATCAGCAAACCAAAAGAGTACCCAGTGATATTTCTATTTCTCTGGTCTACTAAAAGAAACAGTCTTTTCTTGGAATAAAACATTGGCAGTCTTTCACAGATAGATCTTGCTAAATCTGTGGTCAAGAACCCTGCCTCCTACCAGAGATGGTTAAGGCACTAAGAAACATCAGAAACCTTCACAAACTTTGCCCCATTTCCCAATGTGCAAATAAGCTACATTTACAGTAAGAAATGTTTGTATATTTCTCCAACTGACTAGAAATCATCTTCCTGATAGGACCATAGTATGATACAGAAATGTTTTTTCTTGATTACTATCAGATTGAGATGTCTGCCGTTCTGCCGGACACAGAACGTAGCACGCACAGAAAAGTTGACGTTCCCTAATATCTCAGAAACTACAAAATCTGCCATGTGTCAAACCTATGCTGTGAGAACTCTTCTGCCATCATGCTTAAGTCTTCACAAAACTTTATGTCCCTAATCCTGGTCTTCAGAGCTTTTAATGAATTAGGAGTGGCCTGCATTCCAGGCTGCCTTTCACTCACATTTACCCATCCTGAAATGCTGTCTGTCTAGCTGTGGAGACTTGTATATCCTCCTGTACCTCAGTGGTAGAAGGACATTTTTTTCCTTTTGAAACAAACGTGTTTCGGAGGCAGGTGAAGCTCAGATGTACTTGGTTCTGATTGAAGTGTGAACCCACATTTTCATTAGAGATTGTGTGAATTTAAAAGAAAAGGTGTACTGAAAACAGTCTTCATGCTGTAGACGTTTATTCATCGAATGGAGAGAAAGTTGTCTTGGAATTTTGGGGCCCTCTAGAATATCTCCTGTGTTTCATTAAAAGTGTTGTCAGTGCCTTGCTGATATAGCATATAGGCACACACATATATATGTGTGTTTCCCTGCTACGCTGCTACACTGTACAAAGAATTTGTCCTCTGCTAACCAGTGCACAAGCAGGCTTCTCTTAGTAGTTATGAAACAGGCTTTTGTTTTTCTGTTTGAAGAAATCCTTCTTTAGCTTTCTTTTCCATTTTCATGCAGCAGTTCTTCCTTGGTTCAAAATGAAAAAAATTGTTTTCTTTGGATACATAGTTGGAGGATTTTCAATCTTGTGTAAACCCAGTGGTCTTTACAGAGCCAACTTTTTGGCTTTAGGCTTTCATGTCTTGCAGCTGACTCAGAGAAAGTGAGAGATAAAGACATTCCAGCATTCACAGTTCATCTCTGGAGACGTATGTATGTGGCATAGGGACAAAATTTAATTCAATCAGTCTCTTTTTAACCCTTGCACTTGAGAGAGTAATTACTTTCTGTACCTGTGGCAGAGAGAGACAGAGAATGCAAATGTATGTATTAAAATAAGGGGATGTTCAGCTGTTTCTTATCCTATAGTATCAGAAGACTAACCAGAAAATGAAGAAACAAAGAAACCTGAAAGCCTTTTTCATGTTTTGCCACTTCCCAAAAAACATGACAGAGCTCAGAGAGTCACATGAAAAATCCCTTCCCGTGCAAGCTTCAGAGATATATTGACTTGTTGTGATATTTGGATAAAACAAACAACTCTGGGCTACTAATATTGGGGATAAATGTGTATTGCAGGTTCCAGATCTGAAATACCTAGAGCCTTCATAAGCCCTTTCTTAGGGTACAGTAATGGATATGGACACAGTACTTTATAAAATGGCATTTCAGGGCTTGTATTTTGTCTTGCTGTAAAAAGTCTTATAGCTTAGAGATCTTGAAATTAGTATTATTTTGAGTGTTGTTGGGTGTATATGTTTTACCATCATCATATAAAATAAAACTTGAAGTAGCAGTGTTATTGTTCACTAATGTGAGAAATTAATTATGAGGCATTTGATTTTTAAAATATTAAAAATCAGGATAAATGCATTCAGATGTAAGCACGCATACAAATATATGTTGGCAGCAAGCAGTCCGGGTTTTTTTTCTACAGGCAAAGGTCCCAGAGGCTATTGTACATTGCTACTACCTGGCTGAGATGCTTTTCTCAGACATACAAGACCTTTTAATGCATATGCACATGATTAATAGCAGCAATGCCAGCTGTTTTTAGGGAACCCAGGGAAAACCTTATTGCTTTACCATTACTCATCTGGATTTAATTTGAAACAGTTTGCTGGTGAAATGTCTTTAAGTGCAAAAGGTATATTTTACAAGTGCACTTCTTCTCCACCAGTTCTGGAAAAAAGTCATTGTGTGTAATTCCTGGTACATTGACAAGTAGGTCCCTCAAGGCAGTATCTAGCCTTTTTTCTGCATGTTTTATCCTTAATGTTGGCATCCCCTAAAATGACTTCAGTAAGAAAACTTGTTAGTCAGAGGTGATGTGGATTCTTTTGCAGGCATTTGGTGGATTACACTGTCACTGGCTTGAGCCTTATGTGCATTCTTCAAAATCTGCATTACAGGGAACATCTGCTTTGTTGTTTGAAAGTACTAAACATGATTACATTGGATGTACTGCAGCAGAGGAAAATACAGGCTAGGAAAATGCTGGCTGGTATGATGATGAGGCTACAGTTAATACCAAAGGGGAACAGTATCCTCTTTTTGAAAACAATTGGCCATTGAATTTGGCAGGGTGAGTTTCTGAGTGTTTTTTGAGACATATCAAGATCAGTTATAACAAACACTTAGTACAGGGGACTGTGGAGGAGAAGCTAAATACAAAGGGGATAGAAGAAGCAAACTTAGGGCTCATTTGTTGCCCTCTGAAGTCATGGATTATTTCATTCTTGCCCTTTAAATTTAAAGCAGCTGCTGCCATTCAAACTGGGTAACTGAAATATTTCAGCCATATGGTGGTAACTTTCCAGGCCACTAGCTTCCAATGATATTATGGCACTGACATTAATAATACTTTTGTTCAGTAACAAAGGGAAGTAATTTCATGACCATCTTTTTCCTATCATGAAACCTTAGACGATCAGTAAATTTTAGTAATACCCTCCTCTGCAGGAAATTCTTAGAACAAAACCAAGATATTCTTATCTAATCTTACTCACTAGTTTGCTTTATAAAAAGTCTTGGCATTCAGAAGTACAGGAAACCTTTCTTTATAGGTGCACATCTTTATTGCATTTTACACATTATACTCTAATATAAAACAAAACCAGCATTTTATATATGCAAATGTGATGAAAAGTGTAAGGCCAGCCTTCATACTGAGTCTTGCAGTTACAGTAACTGAAATGGTCTCTGAAATGATATTATTAAGTCCATGATGAGCAAACAACAATTCTGTGCTTCTACTGTGTCTGTGAGGTGAAGCAGTTCTTGGAAAATATTTCTCCCAACTCAGAAGCTGGCTGATCAGTGGAGTGTGTGGAGCTCCTCAGCCTTACATGTCTGCAAGTAATGATGAAGCATTTAATGCAAGTATGTGTAGTTCCTGGGGTCAAGCTCTACACATTTAAAGATGGTGTTTGCTGTACTATTCACTACTTCAGGCAGGCAGGCATTGCACCCTATTGTTCATGTAACTGTTCTCCAAACAGCTTTATCATGACAGCTCAGAGAGGTCCGTTGCTTCATTAACTGTGATAACAAAATGTAAAATGTAGATTTTTTTTAAAAAAGAAAAAATATGTGAATGCATATATTTTAAATACATCTTCTTTCAATCCACATCCAGAAGTTTTAAGTGATCTTTTATATGTAGGTGAGAAAGCTTCTGAAGTGCCTAGTGTGTTCTCTGACCATTTCTTGTTTTCCAAGTACTTCAGTGCAGGAGGGCAGTAGGGTCTGAGGGAAGCATTGGTTAAGTAAGTTTGAGCTGTCTGCAATTTCTCAGGGGGTACATCTCACAGGGAGCTGGTGATTGGACCCTGTGGAGAAGAGCTGCTTTAAGGAGGATAGTTGACCAAAGCATTTTCAAGTATGCATCTTGAGAAGTCGCTCCATCAGTTCTTCAGACCGTGAGCACACCTAAGTCTTGTGGACAAGCAGATTAGTGGGTAAGGACTGCTTGCCTATCAGGCTGCCAGTTTAGCTGACTGGAGCACATCATAACAAAGACTACAGAGAAGAAAATACCTGTCTCTTGCCAGCTACCCCACTGCAGTCACAGCCATCACCCAGTGCAGGGCTTCCTGGCTCTCAGTGTGTTGAGGTCAGTATACAAGTGTGGCTGACAGTCAGGTGTGGCTGCACTTTCTCAAGTGAAAAAAAATAGCTCTTTTACATGTTTACTTTTAATTGTTCATGATGCACGATGGCAGTGTTACTAAACAGCTCCCCTACCTCCACAGCCTTTTCTCACAAGATATTAAAAATTAAAACAAATACTTCTGAGTACTTGGGAATGCAGATATTCTTTTGCTAAAAAGCTGACATGCTGCTTTATTGCATTTTTGATTGAGATTTGACTGTGAGAGACTAGCCTTATGTTCCTACTTCTGGAATTGCAAGAAAGTGGCTAACTACCTTCTTCTAGGTCTAAAATTACAGATTAGTATTTCTGCTTTAAATTACATTGTTAAATAGGAAGGTTATGCAAATTCTAGGCTGAAGTGGTGACAATGGAAGAGGCCAACACTCTTGAACTTCTTTTAAGGAAATAATTATTTTATTCTACACTCTGTAACATATATTCTTATAGATACATGTGGCATGTGATGAGTATGGCATAAAGCTTCTCTGAAAGAGTGATTTTAAAAAAATGTAGTGTCGTTCATTGTAACCAGGCACCTATAATCAGTTTCACTGGATATAGTCAATTATGCAATCACATCCACCTTAATAAGTGTCCTCTTACTAAGAAAGGGTCACCTGAGTAATTGAATGATAGAACTGGTATTCTGTTGTGGTTATGTTAAGAAATAAGTTTTAAAAATTCAAGTGCTGTTACTCACTTTGGTCTTCAAAAGCATGTTATGTGCATGAGTACATGATCATGGTCATAAAAGCTATCAGATTATTCTAATATAGTTTAGAGAGAGAGAGTTTATATAATAGTTTAATTATTTTAATCTACAATGACCTGTAATAGTCAACCAACAATTCATCAAACCATATACTAATAATTTACTAATCTATGATAATCTCTATCATAAGTGTGTCCGTGATATGAATTTTGACTTGGCATCAACCTGACAAATAACAAAATTAACATCTGGACTGGCTCCATGCACCTTAAAAGATACTATTCCATATGTATTTCTTCCTGAATAAGGAAAGTACACCTGAACATTTGATCACTACTTTCAAACATTTAACACCACTGAAAGTGAAATGGGTGTATTGCCTCACAGCTTCTTTGATTTGAGAGGCTGGTGCATAAGCAAAGCAACAGAAAAATACTTGGACCATTGTGTATGTGCAGCATACACAGACAGACAGTGTCAGAGTCAGTATCTTTCTACTTTGTTTTTGAGTGATCTTTTGATCTGTCGGTAGCTTTTTGACTCTTTGTGGAATCTTTTTGAGAAACACAGTTCATGCATTCAAATATTCCAATTTAGTCCTTACTTTATAGAATTCAAAAAGCTGGTCAATTTTTCTCTAAAATAATATTACCAGATTTTCCCCATTTCCATGGATGGAAGCTTACAGTTCCTGTCATAGCATATTTAGGTCAATGTGTTTTTATAAACACAACAAAGGCATATGGAATTTTTGTCTCTTCCTCCCAAAAGTACTTAAAAGAAAGGTGCATTGTTAAAACAGTAATCTGACAATAATTTAAATTTTAAAAACAAGACAAATAAGCACAATTATACAAAAAATACTGTTGAGAATATTAGGCTAATTACAGTAGAAATAAACAGAAAATTGTTTTTCCAAGTACATGAGTAGAATTCCAATGAATACAAAATTTGCAATACAATACAGTACTTATATAATGCTATATAATTTAGCTGCCACAATGGCAAAGATTAATATTGCTGCCTTGTTGCATTGACAGGGTGTTTAGAAAGTGATATGTTAGTTGTCAGAAAACAACCATATAACAGTTTAACTAACAGGTTGAAATTATGTCTTAAATAGGACATACTCACATGCAAATTCTGAGTAATAACTGCATAGTAATTTCAACCTTTTCAGCAAATGGTATGTGTCAGGTGTTTGTGAGATTTGCTCTATTCACACAACTGATTTAATAGTGACATGTAACAGGCCGATTCTGCTGCCAGAATATATGTATATATACATATATAGGCACATGCAGAGGCACAGAACTGCATCAGAAAAAAAATCTCAAAAATGAAGCCTAATGCTAAATATATATATTTTAAAGTCTAGAGGTCAAGCCATATGAGGAGTGGCTGAGGTCACTTGGCTTATTCAGCCTGGAGAAGAGGAGACCGAAGGGAGAATTCATAGTAGCCTACAGCCTCCTTAGGGGGAAGCAGATGGGCAGGCACTGGTCTCTTCTTTCTGGGGACCAGTGACAGGACCTGAGGGAATAGTACAGAGCTGTGTCGGGGGGGTTAGGTTGGATATGAAGATAAGGTTCTTCACCCAGGGAGTAATTGGGCACTGGAACGGACTCAGAAAAGAGGTCATGGTGTCAAGCCTGCCAGAGTTCAAGAAGCATTGGACAAATGTCGCAGGCATGGTGTGATTCTTGGGACTGTCCTGTGCAGGTCCTTGTGGATCCCTTCCAACTCAGGATATTCTATGATTCTATAATTCTTTGATTGAAATGAGAGCATGAAAATTAGCTTTTGACTGAGCCCTGTAAAGTGCACCAGGCATGCAGGTCCATACAGTTTCTTTTGCAATAAGTGTGGGCTCACAGTATCTGCCCCCTTGCCTCTGACTGACCAAAGCCTCCAGCAAAATCTGTGGCAATTTATTCACATCCTGTGTGGTGATTTTCACCAGAAATGTTCCTACAAGATATCCTCTTTTGCCAGTGTTTGCTGAACTTCACAACCTTTTGAGAATAAAGCTTGAAATTAGCTCAGAAAACAGCAACGAAGAATCACAAGTGCAAATATAACATTTACGTAGTCTAATGCTAGATTTTCCTCTATTTTATGGAAAGGCATTTTAAATCTATTTGATTTTCCACAGTAGAGATTTTGTTTTATTAAAAGTCTTTAAGCATAGCTATTACCATTGGTATTCTCACATATAAAGACCAAATTGAAATAGTGTTAAATATTATAGATACACATATAAGTATACATGCATATAAAATAGATCTACATACATATCTCTGTGAATGTATAGCTATATATGTGTTTTTAAAAGCTGAGCCATGCCACATTATTGGAGGCAACAGTCTTGATTAGAATGCACTTCTCATCAGTAGTTTTGGGGTACCAAGCTACAGGCTGTGAATACTGAATGAAAGTGAAAATTCTCATGTGTCTAATCTCTGGCCAGAAAGGGTCCTCCTTACCCTTCTCACATGGGATCACATTGCAGTGTCTTAACTGGGCTCCCCATACTAGAAATTACTAGTCAGCCTAATCGCTGACCTCTTCACCCGTAACCCAGGTAATTAAATTATGGTAAATCTGTTGGTTAGATAAAACCATCAGATGACATTAGTCACTCAGTTTTACCCAAACTCAATTCTGTCAAGTGTTTGAAGAGAGTAATAATTTGGTCATTTGAAGATTGAAGCCTCTGTCTCAGTTACATTTTACTTCCTTACAAGAAGTCGTATATATTGAATCACTATTGTCTCAGTCATTTATAACTTTCTATTGATTTTAAATCCCTTTTAAGTGTTCCAATCCAAAACAAAAAAAAATGTTACTGAACTTACAAATTGTTTGTATTTACAGAATGCTGTTACACCAACAGAATTCTGTATTGTGTGAAGTTTTCCCTGATGGCATGTATAGACTCTCTTCCATCAAAACAATAAGAACCTGTTGAATGTACTTGAAATACATTTGAGATAACTGTCATGAATAATGTTATGTAAAGGCACAGATGAATGAACTGGCTGATTAGTATATGATTGAAGAGTTTGCACACTTGGAGGCTTAGGTCCCCAGAAAAAAGTTTCACATGAAATAATGTCATGATTTGTTTTAGGCTTTTTGATCATTCCATGGAAGGATTCAAAAACTGGGAGTTTATGACTACTCACTGTTGGAGTGAAAAAGCAGCAGGTGACTGGATCTTGGAAATCTGTGATACTCCATCTCAGCTGAGAAATTTCAAGACTCCAGGTACGACTATAACCTTTATTGTTGTTCTGAGAATTCTGAAGAATGCTTGCTGTTTTCTGCCTTCTATTTGTGTCTGGAACACCTCACCAGTTTTAGTGTGAAGGCAAAGCTGGGAAGAGCATTAATTTCAATTATCAATGCACTCTTTATTTTTACCTTGCTATATTGTGTAATACATACGGATCACTTTTATTCTGAATTTATTTCTGGTTTCCATGGAAAAATTCATGTCAGGGGTACACTGCCCTCTTTCTTGCAGTTACATGCATTGCCTCAAAGAATAGAAAGAGATGTCGGCTGTTTATAGCTGCATCATACTAGACATGAATTCTTCGAGCAGAGACAGATTCCTGTACCATCTGACAGGTTACCAAGAGTCAGTGCTTTAAAGAAAGCCAAATCTTTACTAAGCACAGTTTTCAAGGAAAAAGGATATAAAATTCCATGAAACCTCATCTGCTGCATTTGAATGAAATGATAGTATCTCCATCTGTGTTCTTGGATGTTGAATGTGGATTTCTCAGGCAGATCTTCAACATAAGTTAGAGCACCCCAGAGTTACCCTGCTGTATTCATATTGCTTGTGACCATCCTAAGTGATACAGAGCCCATATTTTCTTGGCCTGTATCGGCTGCCTGGGATCCAGGGATTTCATTTCCACATTGTTTTTCTTTGTTTTGTATTTATTAGCCTACCCATAAGAAAAAGTGGCATTATCATTGTTTGCGTAACTACAAAATCTCACTATACAAGAGAAAGAAATTCATGGCTCCCTACCACTGCTAGCTTGCATGGTACTCCTGTATATATGGGCAAAGTGCATTTTGAAATAGATACATTATACACAGACAAAAATGCCAGTGTTTCTGTATGAATACTGAGTATAGTCCTTCCCTTAGAGTCCCACATCAAAGTACGTGAAAACTCTTTGATAAAAGCAATCAAAGATGACATGTCATTTGAACAAATAATCCAGATTAAAACGTGTTAGAGAGATAAATGCTACTACTGATGTATTGGAAATAATCTATCACCAAATCTAAATTAATACTCTGATTGGATGGCATGTCAGAATGCAATAGTATTACATTGAAAAGGCAAATCTAGTTGATTACTGCTGTGAAATGTATTTAGGATTGCAATGACATTACCAACAGAATTAGTTAATATTTCTTGTAGTTTAACCTCAGATGGCAAGTAAGTACCATGCAGCTGCTTGCTTGCCACACCCCTATCCAGTAGGATGTGGGAGGAGAACCAGAAAAAGGTGAAACCTGTGGGTTGAAATAAGAGCAGTTCAATAATGGAAATAAAGTGAGATACAGTCATAGCGACAGTGACGACGACGATGATGATGATGATGATGATTAAAAGGGAGATTAAAAAAAGATAGAATGGAATGAAACACGAGAAAAACAAGTGATGCACAATACATTTGCTGACCACCCACGGACTAATGCCAGACTCCATCCCCACTGGCAGCTCCCTGCCAGCTTTCTCCAGTTTATATATTGGGCATGACATTCTGTGTTATGGAATATCCCTTTGGCTAGTTTGGGTCAGCTATCCTGGCCATGCTCCCTCCGAGCTTCTCGTGCATCTGCTTGCTGGCAGATCATGGGAAACTGAAAAGTCCTTGACTTTAGTAAGCACTATTTAACAACAACTTAAACAGCGTGTTACCAGGTAATTGTCATACTAAATCCAAAACACAGCACTGCACTGTCTACTAGGAAATAAATTAACTCTATCCCAGCTGAAACCAGGACATTAATTCAGTGAAAGAAATTATACAATCCATCTCAGGCAGCTAAATAAACTCACAAAGCAGTAAGTTTTCTAATTGACTTCCTAAAAATAAGTTCTGAATTATAAGACACAGATGTTACTTAAGTACTTGAAGCTATAAAAATCTATCTTTGTGAAATCATTAGTAGGGGATTTTAGAGTATGTTTGTTGGTAGGTTATTGGAACTCATTAAAATTTGTCAAATGAGCCTTGCTAAGTATAAGTACTTCTATTGTTTCAACTACATGAAAAAATATATAAAGAAACATTGACTAAAATGTGATCTGAACTGCTTGTAAGCTTTGAGTTTAAATAAGAAAGTCTAGCATAATAGGGCCTGTGCATGTAGTTGACTATTCTAAAAGAATGTTAACTGTTTCACATCTACTTTGTCCAGGAAAGGTCCATTAATGTTTCTGTCACAGACACAAAGTACTTTGTCTTCCTCTTGATTCAAATTTGGTTTGTTAAATTATTCAGATTGGAAAGATGGCTATGTATAATTCTCCTGTTTAAGGTGCCTTTCTGGGAGGCCAGGGGGTTCAATCACTCCTGCAGCTTACAAACTCAGTGGGACTATTTCCAGCATGACTTGGTGCTAGCACATTAGAATTCCTCCTGTGTCCTGGTTTGCTCTAAGTTGTCCAGTTTCCTTCCTATTCCAAGTGGTGCGTAAGCCAAACTCAACTGTATTTATACATTTTACTTTGAACAAAAATGAACTCACTAATTTCAGAATTATGACAAAATGGACGTGCTGATTTTATGTTGCTTAGATGATTTTCTGTCTAAAAATTCTAACACAAAGATCAGCCTCACTCAATTGCTCTTGATAGAATTGAGTTCTTTATTTCTGCTCTTCATTAGCTCTGTTATGTTCCGATAACCAATCTCAACTTTTAAATAAAGTTTCTCTGTCTGGCCATCAAATCATGTTCTCTTATTGCCTGCTGAAGTCATCTATATAATCAGATTTTTTTGGTTTAGGATAGTAAATCAGCAGTCATAAGCCAGAATTTTGAAAAGCTTTTATGTAATACAAGGCTAATGAAGACCAAGATAATGTGTGATTTTCAAAATTGCTGAGCAGCAAACAAGTTTTGGACTGTGGTAACATTTCAGACTGTGGCCAATGTTATTTAAATGTTAGCTGTATAGTCATGTGGTTAACTTTAGGCACACCATTCTGAAAATTGTGATTAGCATGCCTTAGAGCTCTGAAAGGAAAATCCAGCATTGCCAGTGTTTCCATTTTCACTTTGTCACCTCTTCTCACTATAGTTTTTCAGTGGTGAAAGATTTGGAGCTGAGCGCGGCTACCTGTGGGAGGCTTACACAGCTGGGGGCAGGACCGGACTCGTTGGTCAGAGATTTAAACTGCCCCAGGGAAAGCAAGTGACCCAGAACGCTGCGAACAGGGGCGGGCAAACAGGAGCGCTGCGAACAGGAGCAGGCATAGGAGCAGGCATGGAAAGGAGGGCAGTTAGCATGTCAGTTCGAGCAGGCAGGGCACAGCCACTCTGCTTTCTTTTGCTTTCTTTTTTTTTCCCGCAACTCAGCTAAACCAGGCAATGGTCTCTATGTGAACAAAAACTGTTGCTGCCGCTACCATGAGGAATGTTCTAACTCAGACAGAGCCCTCCGTGCAGGACGCAGCTGTTCAGGTCACTGCTGCACAGATTGCCTCGGTCTGGTGTTAGTTTCAGAG